TCAGGTCCTCCTGACTTCAGGGCCGGTGCTCTATCCATTGCGCCACCTAGCTGCCCCCCCACTGCGTCACCTAGTTGCCCCCCACTGCGCCACCTAGCTGCCCCAAATGTACTCCCTTCTTAAGCTCTGCCTCAGAGAATCTCTCACTTTCCTCAAAGGCATAGCCCTGCCTTCTTTGTGATGCCTTTCCTGATTCCCACCCACCTCCAACTCTGGTTCTTTCACTCCCTAACTTTACCTCTTATTAATTTTGTGCTTATTTTGCACGTATTTACATATGCACATCTTGTTTCCCCTGACAGAACCTTAGCAAGGTCCTTGAGAGTAGGAATTGTTTCATTAATGTCTTTGTGTCACCATCATCTTGCATACTTCCTCACACATGGTGCTTTATAATCCTTGCTGATTAGTTGATTGTACCAAGGTGCCTACCTGGAGGAAAGAGCCTTAAGGGTTCTCTTAGCTGGCTGCCCCCTCTCCTGGGATCTGGGAATGACTCTAGTCTTGCCCCAGTAAGGTTGAGACAGAATTTTCAGATCACAGCATTCCACCCCTAGGGAGGGGAGAGGAGCTCAGGGGAAGGCTTGTGGGGACTGCAGGGTAACTCACTGCCAGGAAGATCTGAAGGGCGCTGCTGAGCACCTCAATGTAGGGGTAGTCAAGCAGGCAGCCAGTGACGGTGATGACGTGGTGGTCCTCCAGGGCCAGGCGGGAGTTCAGCACAGGCGTCACCAGGCAACCAGGGCCATTCTCCATCCACCAAGAGCGATGCAGGGATGTATTGAATGTCATAATGAAGTCTCGGTCCTAAAGAGATCAGTATCCAGGAAGTCTAAGCTTCCCACCTTCCCCCTGCCCTCATTTAGGTCCAGATGGCCCCGGGGAGAAGAAGAGGCCTAAAACTATCCCTGGCCAAGGGAAAAGGAAATCTGTATAGCTTCTTTACCTCCAGCACCTATGAACGGTGACCTAGGGGTTAAGGGGACCTAAACTTCTCATTCCCCTAGGAAAAGGAATCAGTACTGTGCTCTGTCTCTCCACTCCTACCCCTCAGCCTGGTGCTCTGTGGCCTCCCACCTCCCACCAAAAAAAAAAAAAAGACAAAAAAAAACTCTAAAAAAATCCTCCTCTGAGTGAAAGTAGAAGAATGAAGATACAGAGAAAATGCCATTGTGGCCACTGCAGGCCTGGGGCTTGTTTTGAGAAGCAAGACACTAAGAGAGGCGAGACTTTTGCCCCCTTCCACCTGCCCACCCCCATATCCAGCCCTGGTGTCTCTGTCTTCTGTCCATCTATGCTTTGGTACTGAAGGTCCATCCCCGGCCACCACATATCCTTGAGCCTTGTGGTGGCCCCTCCCTCCACAGCACAGCCCCCTCCCTGCTTCCCTCCCTCCCTCCATTCCCCCACATCCATGGGCAAGTTTGCATTACACAAACATTGCTTAACATGGAGGTCTACAGAATGGTTCACTTACATGAAGCAAGAATTGTCTGTATAGTACCTAGAGGTTACATGCATTTTTACGTTATCTTGAACTATCCTTGTAACTTTCTGTAGACAAAATGCCCTTCCTTGGTCAACTCTCCTCCTTTTGTGTGTAACTCCTCCATTAGAATGCAAGTTCCTCGAGGGCAGAGATTGGTTTTACTTTCCTTATTTATATCCCAAGCTTTTAGTACAGTGCTGGGCAATTTAAGCACTTCATTCATTCATTCCTTTCTCCCTACCCCATTAGAATTCTTGGTTTCCTCCAAAACTTGGCTCAAATGCCATCTTCTGTAAGAGGCCTTTTCCAGTCTCTCTCTCTCTCTCTCTCTCTCTCTCTCAATCTCTCTCTCTCTCTCTCTCTCTCTCTCTCCCTCTCTCTCTCTCTGTCTCCCTTCTCTCCATCCTCTACCTCCCTCCCTGCTCTCCTCACTCTCCAAGGTAGTTTTTTTTAATCTACTCCATATCCATTGCACGTACCTATCTATTTAGATGTTGTGTCCCTGGTTACAGTGTAAGCATCTTGGACTGTTTTGGCCTTTCTTTGTGCTCCCCCATCCCCCTAGACTTGGTTTAGCATGGTGCCTGGCTTATATTAAGTACTTAGTAAATTCTTATTGATTGGGCCATAGACAACTGTCTTTGTTTCTCTTGAGCTCTTTGCAGTGGGCTGTCCCTTCTGTCTAGGATACCCTGCTTCCCTTTCGCCTTTTGGAATCCCCAGCTGCCTTGGATGCTAAGCTCAAGCTACTTCTTCCTGATTTCTCAGTTTGTTATTGCACTCACATTCCTCTGGTCAATTACTGTGTATTTATTCTGTATCTACCTTGTATCTATGCATGTCCATGTGCATGTTTTATTCCCTTTATAGAATGGAAGCTTTCTGAGAGCAGAGACTGTTTTCTTTTGTCTGTGTATCTCCAGAATCTAGTTCTGGCACTATGTACCTGGCACATAGTAAGTACTTAATAAAAGTTTTTCACTCATTCACTCACTCACCCCCTCACTCATTCATTCATTGTTGACTGATTGCTCTCATTTACAACAACTCTGTAGGACAGGTAGTAGAAGTATTATTATTTCCATGAGGAAACTGAGCCTCAGAGAAAGTGAGTAAGTGACTTGTCCAAGGTGACCCAGTAAATGTTCCAAGGGCCAAGCTGGCATGTGCTTGCTCCACGTGGGATGGGTGCACATATATCATCTCAAGACACACTTGGAACAAGGGGAGGTAGAGGCAGGCAGAGGCTCTTCCTAGATCCCCTAGGTGGTGGAGGTAGGAATTGAGGGAGAGAGAAAGCAGAGATTGGAAGCCAAAGTATGTATGTGTGTCTGTCTATTTGTCCTTCTTGGTGGGAAAGAGTCCAGGGCTTTGGACTGTTCTTGTAATCTTATATATGGCCAGTAGGGGGAAGTGGTGGGCCACACAGGTATCCTTTCCTTACATTTCTCAGGATAATAGGGGTGATCCTTGATGCTGTTACATGGTCATGCAGGCATGGTGAGGAGTGGAAGGGAGCCTGTCCAGAGGGACAACAGAGAAGACCTCCCTAACCTTGTAAGCCAGCCATTAATGCTTGATTCTCTAGCTCCATTCCTTCTTGGTGATTGACCCCAGTTCACAGACCCTGACTGGTGCCAGGGTGTCATCCTTTGGGGCAGAGCACAGCACTAGGGCATGTTCAGACTCCTTAGCTCTGGAACAAGATTGAGGGGTGGAGAGCTCTTAGACCCATGGGGATAACAGCACCTACCCATCCGGGTTGTTGTGAGGATCAAATTATCTCTTTGTAAAGTGTTTAGCACAGGACCGTGCACACAGTAGGTGCTATATAAATGCATATTCCCTTCCCTTCCCTCTTTCCCCCCTGGAACACTGATATAATTTGGGTCAGAAGCTGCTTGGGATAGGGATGGGCAAAAGAAGACCGGGCTGGGGTGCTTACCTGAGACAAATGCCCAACTTCCAGGTAGAAGCAGATGATGAATGCATTCCAGCCGACCCAGAGAACAAGCCAGCCTGCATACTGGGGAGAGAACAGAGGGGCAGGCAGTTGGCCAATGTGCTTAGTAGTGGGCTTTATGTGAGGAGCACAGCCAGAGAACCTTAGAGCTAGGAGGGTGCTCAGAGATCATGAAGGGGGAACAGGAGGCACAAAACATATTAGGAATCCATTGGTGCCTATCTGTCAGGGGGAAGGGGAATCTGGGATGAGCAGGCTCGACTATAAACCTCAGGTTCCATAGGTTTCTTCTGCACAAGCCAGTGTCTCCTCCAAGTTCCCATTGCCTTGTTCTCTCAGTTCACCTCTTATCCCTGACTTAATTAGCCTATAAACACCCCTGACCTGACCCCACCCCATCCCTGCAACTAAAGCCACCCTCTAATAACATAAATAACACTCAGGTGAAGGGACAGTGTTTGGAGGGGTAAATTCTGGAGCACTGAGGTCTGGACTGGAGAATTCCTGGAAAAGACTGCAGAACCTGAGATTTTACAGATCCCAGATGCAGCCCCCTTTGGGAAATGGCATTCTGCCAGAAAGGCCCAGCCCTTGGCTACCTGTACAGAAGAGGACAAGGCTGGGGTGAGGGAGGTGGAGGTGGGGAGAGGGACGAGGTGGGTTATTCTATTCTGGGGATAATTCATTTATTCAACAAGCACTAGTTATGTACTTACTGTGTGCCAAGCACCGTACTAGAAGCTGCGGATACAAAAACAGAAAGAAAAGATCCAGGCTCTTCCCTTAGGGGGCTTAACGTTTTATTGATAAAGAAGCTTACATTGTATTGGGTCTGCGGGCACACCCCTGGACCAGAGTGCTATGAAGAACACCATTTTATGCATTTGACTTTGCAAGGCCAGTGCCCCTGAGACTTATTTCCCTTCAGGCACTACACATGTGTGGGGAACCTGCTAACCCTTCAATTCCAGGCCTGTGGTGCTCTGGTTTGGGCTGTTACAGTCCAATTTAGTTAAGCTTTCCCATGCATGCATGTGAATGAATGTGTATATGTATATGTATATATACATGCATGTGTAAACGTATACGTGTGTATATGTGTATGTATGCATGTGTGTATGAATAGGTGGGTGAATATAAGTGTGTATGCATGTATGCATGTGTATATATATGTATATATACATATACACATACGCGTGTGTGTGTGTGTGTGTGTGTGTGTGTGTGCCAGTAGTGTGTGGCAGGGGTTGATGGGAACAAAAGACTGAAGCTCATTTATCCCAGCCCTTTGTCCTATTACACTGGGAGAGACCCTTCCCTTTCCTGGGTCTTGGTGCCAAGGGCTCCTCCTCCCTTATCCCCTCTGCACTGAATCCTGAAGGCTGCTGAGAGAGCCAGCAGCTATAGACAGTGGCAGAAGATCCTTTGGGAGGGAGGAAGGGCTCCCTTCTTGGTGACCATTATCACGAAATCGGAGGGCTTCAGGGGCTGTAGGTGGGGTGATCAGTCCAATTCAAAGTAACAAGTATCCAGTAAGCACATGTTCTGTATAAGGCACTATGCTAGTTGTTGAGGACATAAAGACAGAAAGATAAATATTCCCTGCCCTCAGGGAGCTTATTTTCTACTAGGGGGTGATGGGGGAGAGGATATAGTCCATAAAAGGACATGGGTCTTCTATAACTAGACTGAAGATCTGGAGAAACCCAGGGTCAGGTATTTCATATATAGAAACAGGATAGAGATTTAGAACTGAAAAGGACCCTAGAGGTCATCGAGGGCAACTCCTTCATTTTACAAAGAGGTTAAGTGACTTGTCCAGGGTCACATAGCTACTAAGTGCTTGGGGTGAGATTCGAAGTTGGATATTCCTGAGTCCTACCATGATGAGATATCTGGATCGATACTGCACAGTCCCGAAGATGCCCAGGATGACCGCCATGATGTGGAGGAAGTTGGCCAGGATGGGAGCCCACTGATAGCCCAGGAAGTCAAAGACCTGTCGTTCCAGGGCTGCCACCTGAGAATAGGAAAAGAGAGAGAAAGGCTGAGGATCCAGGAGAAAATAAATGCAAGTTACTCCATCTGGCATTGAAGGCTCTCCAGAAGCTGGCACCTACCGAACTACCCTGTCGTACTTCATGAGCTCCCCGGGTTACTAAACAGTGGTTTTTGGCTATTTCTGGCACACTACATTTTATCTGTTCTTTGTCCTCATTTCCAGGACCACCAATCCCTATACCCTTTACTACACCCTCTTCTCTGGGTTTTCCTGCCGCTCCTCTCCCTGAGTTCCCCTCTTAGCTATCTGCTCTCAGTTTCCTTTGCTGATTTCTCATCCTTCTCGTGCCCTCTAACTATTCACGTCCCATAAAGGTTTCTCCTGAGCCTGCTTTTATCACTATACTATCTCCCTTGGTGATCTAAATAGCTCCTGTGAATTTATTTATCATCTCTATGCAGATGATTTCCAGACCTACACGTCCAAGCCAGAATCTCTCTTAGGTGCTCCACTCTCACATCTCCACCTGCCTAATGGATATTCCAAAGTGGGTGTCCCAAAGAGAACTCATTATCTTTCCCTTCATGCCCTACTCCACTCAAACACTCCCATTTTCCAAACTTTCCTAGTACTGTAAAGGGTAACCACCGTCCTTCCAGCCTCCTAGACTGACAACCTGTGTCTCCATCGACTCCTCACTCTCAGCCCACATATCCAATCAATGACCAAATCTTCTTGTTTCTTCCCTGTAATTTCTCGTATATAGCCTCTTCTCTAACCTCCCACATCCCACACCCTTGGTTAGCCCCTCATCACCTCTTGCCTAGACTACTACAATAAACTTTCTAATCAGCATCTGTGCCTTAAATCTCTCCCCACTCTAATCTATCTTTCACACAGCAGCCAAAGTGATTTTACTGAAGTGTAGGTAGGTGAGTGTGCGCACGCGTGCGCGCGCGCGCGCGCGCACACACACACACACACACACGCACACACACAATCCCTTCCCTGTACTCCCCACTCAGTAAACTCCAGTAGCTCCCTATTATCTCCAGGATCAATTAGGAAGGCCTCAATTTGACATTTAAGGCTTTTCATGACTTGGCCCCTTCCTGCCTCTCCCAGTCTTTTCACATTTTACTCCCCCTCCACACACTCTATGGTCCAGTGATAGCAGGGTTTTCCAACTCGATTGTCCTTACACAGGACACTACATCTTGCATCTCCCAGCTTTCCCTGTATCTGGAATGTTCCCTCTCCTCATTTTTGCCTCTTGACATTCCTGGCTTCTTTTTAAGCCTCAGCTCAACCACCACCTTCAGCAAGAAGCCCTTTAGCCTCTCGAGCCTTCCTGTCCAGGTGACGTCAACCTCCTCTGAACTTTTCTTTCTGTACCTATTTATTTACATGTTGTCTCCCCAATTGGAACATAAGCACCTTGAGGGCAGGGACTATTTTTCTGTTTTGCCTTTCTTTGTACCCTTATATTTAACACAGGGCCTGACATATATAATGTTGTTGTATTGGACTCTTCCTGTCCCCATTTGGGGTTTTCTTGGCAAAGATACTAGAGCAATTTGCCTTTTCCTTCTCCAGCTCATTTTACAGATGAGGAAACTGAGGCAAACAGGGATAAATGACTTGCCCAGGGCCACACAGCTAGCATCTAAGGTCACATTTGAACTCGGGAAGATGAGCCTTCCTGACTCCAGGCCCAGAGCTCTATGCACCATGGCACCACCTAGCTGCCCAGTATAAATAATGAGTGCTTAACAAATGTTTGTTGATTGATTTCTCTCTCACCTCCATGCCACATCTTCCCATCGAGAACTCAGTCATGCCTCTCAGAGACTCAGGATAAACTCCATTCATGAGCGATCCACCTATTGTTGGCCTTGGCACCAAGGTGGAAAAATCACTCTGAGGTTGAGGAAGCCACAGAGAAGCCAAGAGTTAGCTCCTGGGAGGCAGGGAAGAGCCGGCGCCTGCCATTAGACCAATCCCCTGCCTCTATTTAAAGGCAGAAAGTGAAAGCCACAGACTGAAGATATTCCACAGTTTGGCTAAACCATAGCCCTGCTTATCACATCCCACAGAATGTCAGAGCTGGAAGGCAGGGTAATAAGGCAACAAACATTTATTACGAGGACCTGAGGCAGCAAGGTGGTGCAGTGGATAGAGCACTGGCCCTGGATTCAGGAGGACCTGAGTTCAAATCTGGCCTCAGACACATAACATTTACTAGCTGTGTGACCCTGGGCAAGTCACTTAACCCCATTGCCTAGCCAAAAACAAAAATCAAACAAAAAGAGGACCTTAGAACACAGAGTAGCAGAGGTGGGGAGGGGACCTGAAAGTGATCTAGTCCAGATGCCTAATTTCACAGGGTCAGGATCTGAGGGAAGAGAGAGGAACAGAAGCTTGCCTAAGGACCACATTGAGTTAGTGTTTACCTATTCCTCTGGCCTTGGGTGGACCACCTCTCCCCCATCTCTTCTATCAGATTCAGAGCAGGCCTATGTCTCTGAGCCCCCCAACCAGATTTCCAAACCCCGCCATTCATCTTTTAAGTCCCTTGTTTCTTCCCTGGGTACAAATGCTCCACCCGGCTAGGGATGCCTCTTCTTGGCAGAGATGCCAGCCTGGTACCCATGACCATGGTCTGCCCATGGCCCTCTGGATAGGATTCCTTCCCTCCTCCTCTCTGCCCAAATTTAGCTCTCCTGTGATAGCCTCATCTCCCTTGACCCCGACTTTCCCGGGCCTCAGAGCCAGTTAGGGCAGCCTAGATGGAAACTCTGAGCCCTCAGTATGTGGGGTCCCTCCTGAAGTTGTAGCACACCTGGCCTTTAGCACTGGGGGGGGGGTGGAGGGGAAGTCCTGTTTGCTCCACCTCAAAGTATCGATTTCTCTGTGGAGTGAGATGGAGTAAGAGAGAGAAGGAGGAAGCTATAGTAGAGAACCCAGAGCCCGTAATGAGAATCCCTAGCCCCATTTGACAGATGGACATATGAAGGCCCCACAAGTTGATCAGGTGATTTAGCAAGCAAGAAGACCACTCCTCTCCCCAGGAGAGGGATGGAGGGGTGACGCTGGGTGTCAATGGAAAGAACCTTGGACTCGAAGTCAAGGGAGCTTAGTCTTGGCTCCACAAATTGCTGTGTGACTTCCAGCAAGCTGCTTCACTTGAGTTTCAGCATCTTCAAAAGGGTTAGCAACCCCTGCCTTACCTCCCTCCCACAGATGTGAGAATCAAGAATAGCTAGAATTTATAGAAAGCTTGAAGATTTGCAAAGCACTTTACATATGTTTGATGCTCACAACAACCCAGGGGGGAGGTGCTATTATTATTCCCATTTTACAGATGAGGTAATTGAGGCAGAGAGGTCAAGTCAGTCGGTAAACATTTATGAGGTGTCTACTATGTGCCAAGCACTGTGCTAAGCTCTGGGGATATAAAGAAAGGCAAAAGATGACCGCTGCTTTCAAGGAGCTCACAGGTCAAGTGACTTGCCTAAGATCACATGGCTAGTAAATGTGTGAGGCAGGATTTGCACTCAGGTTTTCTTAACTTGTAGTCCAGCACTCTCTCCACTGCCCCAAGCCAGACAAATGACAGAATGTGAAAATACTAGAGGCTGCAGAGAAGGAAGGCATTGAAAGTCATTGGCTCTGTTATTGTCATTGTGATTGTCACGGCTGGGACCAGGTGGCAGCCAAGCTCGGGCCTCATGATCAGATCAGGATCCTTCAGCCCCAGGGCTCCGATTTGTTCCACCCCAATCAAGAAGAGGCCACCTGTGCCCACACCAGAGGTCAGGAGGAAGGGCAGCTTTCCCCTGCCCCAGCCTCAGCGCTCCTGTTTCCCCCCTCCAAAGCAGGACTTAGGTTAGCCAAGAGACTCCCTCTGGTAATCCTTCTCCTGGACTGTCCCCCCCACCCCCATCTTCTTCTTTAAAGTCACAGGAATCGCCAAGCTAAGTTGGTTCCCCCAACCCCTGATTATTTATTTGGTAGCTCAGAGGCTGAGGGGAATGGTTGCCATGGGGACCTGCAGCTCCCTCCCACTCCCCACCACCCCTAGGCACTTCTGCTTCTTCCGCTAGGATGCTCTTCTGTATCTAGACACTCGCCCAAGGGTGGAAGAAAGGGAGGCTGCTGAATAATGCAGGTGGGCCCCTGGGAAGTTGGCTGGGGGAGGGGATGGGCCTGTGGGCTGGGCTTAGGTTGCCGTCATTCAACTCTAAGCTCCCACAGGCTCTTATGCCCAAGTTTCTGCTGACCAAGTTCTATTTTCATAGTCAAAGGGCCAACAACCCAGTTTCCCCAGCTGCAGCCCCTGGGGCCCTGATGACCTCTTGCTGACGACGCCCTCCCTCCCTCCCTCCCTCAGGCCAGGTTGGCACATACCTAGGAAGCGGAGGATTACGGAGGAGATCATGCTAGGATCTGCCAAGCACTTAGCTTCCCTCTCCAGCCAGGTGTACTCACTTAGCTACTTTCACCTGTGGGCTCAGGGCTCCCACATCCTGCCAGTGGTCAGCACCGCAACAGGAAATATACAAGAAGCTAATAATAGCTAGTAAAAAGAAGTCGTGTTTATATAGCGCTATAAAGTTTCCAAAGCCCTTTACATGTTACCTCACAACAGGTAGGTGCTATTATTATGTCCATTTTAGAGTTACCTGAAGCTCAGAAAGGTTAAGCACCTTGCCTGGGGTCACCCAGCTGGTAAGTGTCTGAGGCAGAATTTGAACCCAAGTCTCCCTGAATTCCAATCATCCAGTGTGCCACCCAGTCTGAAAAGTCATTTAAGTAAAGTCAGGTTAATAAGCACTTATTAAGTGCTTACTAGGTGCCAAGTACTTCGTTAAGTGCTGGCTCCTATTTTCTTCACACTGACTTCCCTCTGGGTTCAGGTTCCTGCCTCTGCTTTGCTCTGACTCTCAGTAAGAGTATATGGGCTCCTGCTGGCTTAGTCATACTTTGACTGACTGGCTCGGCTGACGGACTGACAA